ACTACTACTACTACTACTACTACTGTTAGTTGTTATGTATATGTTGTATAGCAAAGTGAGTAAAGTAAGCCTCATGCAAACTTGGTGGCTTCGCCATTACCAATTCGCTATCTCTTTGATCCTCCTTTTGCTCAGAAAAATATCTATTTTCTTCTGGGTTTGAGCATCTATTTTTCTTCTGGGCATGTGATTCTTTCCCCTTCTTTTCATGTGACAGTGGTTCTTGACGATTGACTGCTTAGTTAACCAGGGCTATCACATGGAGGGTAGGGAGAAAGTCCTGAGCCTTCCAAGTTGTGACTTGGAGCATGTGCTGATAAGGAACATGCTAAAAAGAGGAGAAAGCAGTGAGATGACCTCACCAGTCTGCTGCTTCTCCTTCACTGTGAATTCACAGTGAAGGAGCAGCTCCAAATTCAGTTTGGGGCAGTGAGGTGACCAAGCTATGCTTCCTGACTGCAGTACAGAAAAGTCAGGTCACCTGGCTGTGTTATGTGGTAGAGATGTGTAAATCTTTGGATTGGGTGAACAGAAGCACAAATCCTATGGCAGGTAAACAGCTGCAATATATTTATTTCAATGGTGTATTTATGCTTTTGCCTGGATTTCAACTTTAATCTTAGTATAGGTAGGGTTTAAATTTAAAGTACACGTTCGTAACCGTGTTTTATTGATCACTTCCTACAACAGTAAATGTGTTCTATTTCAGCTTAGACAAGCTACATTTTCCCCAGGCTCAACCATTATTATAGCACCACCAAGCTTTTCTGATATTCGAGTTTCACCTGTATAGTGTATGTAATATTAATGGTAATTCACAATATTCTAACTAGTGTAACTGGGGAGAACAGCCCTGATTATAAACTAAGTTATGGATATTAGGTATAATATAAGGGATAGATGGTAAAAAATTTATTGCTTAGTTTTGTATTATTGAATGTGTACCAGTTGTGTAAAATGTGACAAATTGTGATTAATGTTTGGAAACATTAATAAATATATATTAAACAAAAACAAAAAAACACATGCATCTTGAAGATTAACCTGACTGCTTGGTTAATGTCAGTCACTGCTTTATAAATATGTCCCTGTCATTCACAAGGACTCTGAAAAAACTGGATTTGTCTTTTGCAGCAATCATATTACAAATAATGTATTTCTTGTAGAAAGCCATGATGATTTCCCATCTATTACTACTTACAGTCACATTTTATTACTACTGAATCCTAAAGTAAGGGAATGTCTAAGTACCATTCACAAAGACTGCATATACAAGGGTCACACATTCATGTGTCCAAGTGATATGATCAGAAAAAATAAGCTTTTATTTAGCTAGAATAGATCGATCATGTGTTAAGCTTCTCAAAAGATTAATTAGATATGCATTTTTGCAATTGAAATATTTTAGCTATATTACCCTATGTCTTACCTTTAGGCGCAAAGGTTCGGTAAAAGAGGACTTTGCCCTCAGAAGCCAATCACATTTTCTCTTTTAGAATGAAACTCAAATTCTGACTGGCTGCTGTTCACAACACCACAGTCATTTTTTTTTTTTTTGCAGCCACTGAAATTTCCCTTTATAGAAACATGGCGGCACAAAGCACCACATTATATGCATGAGTGATATTTACATAAGATAACCAGAATGCTTCCTGGCACTTCCAGTTTCAACATTATTTTATCTTCTAATTGCTGTTTCTGCCTGCTGCATAATTCATTTCATTTGGATTTAGCAGATTCTCGAGAGGCATTATTTTCATCAGACACTGCCAACTTGGAAATCATTTATTAATGTTTCAAATAGTCTTCACTCTTGCATTGTACTAGTGAAGAACATCTATTGAATTGAAGAGCTTTCCTTCTTCGGGGACTTGTATTAATAGCATAAGGCTTTGATACAGCAGAAAATGAGATACAATGTCAGGGTTATATTGTGTTCACAGAGGATGTTCCTTAGTTAAAAACCTGTCTGTGTGCAGCATAATGTGACATATTTGGAGATGCTATTACCAGTCTTAAACTATGGTACCAGTTTCTAGTTGGAGAATTATAGGGTAAGAACAGCTTTTTAAATCGATCCTCGAGGCCTAAAAGCTCATTAAAGGATCTTTTTTAAGCACTATTTGCATGAAGAATAAGGTGAAAATCCCCATTACAAAGAATACCCAATTATTAGCAAGAGGAAATTTACAGAAAACTGGATTTCCTGCTTGCACATATCTGAATGATTGAAAGGGTATCTAATCCCAAAAACAAAAAATTATATATTGCACCATAACGATCTTTAGACAAGGTGGGTGCATTAGTTAAGGGGGTTATTCACTAAAGAGCCAAAAGATATAGCCGTAGCTTCGGCTAATCCTTCTCTCACTTCGGCCGCCGGAGCCCTTCGGTTCAGCTGAACAGAAGGGCGGCTGTACGGGCTATTCACAATAGGCAGCACGGCAGAGTCGAATGCACATGCTTCAGCTTGGCTGAGCCGAACACACAGCCGAAGCAGACTGTTCTCCCCGCAAATGTAAACAAACAAAAATAAAATTAAAAACAGCGTGGAATGTTAGGAGGAACCCCTCGTTAAAAAAAAATTTTTAAAGTGCATGGGGTTTCCCCCAAACAATTAATACCAGACCTAAAATTTTAAGGGGGAACCCAACCCTCAAAAAACAGGGAAAAAAGTGGGGTCCCCCCTAAAATTCCCAACCAGACCCTTAATCCGAGCACAGACATGGCAGGGCAGGAAAGAGGGGGGGCATTTGTGGGTATTTGTGGCCAGGGGGCTTTTTTGCATCGGGGTACCCCCTTTAATAATGGGGCACCTAAATGCTGCCCCCCTTGCGAATGAGTAAAGGGTTAAAGTAAAATTTAAATAAAGAGAAAACACTTTTTTAGAACAAATCCTTTAATTGGAAAAATAAAACACAACAAGGGTTTTTTGACAATTCCATTAATAAACAAAAATCCCAAAAATGAATCTGTACGATGTAATTCAAAGTTCAATCACGACGTCCAGCGTTGTCCGTGACGACACCGACTCGTTGAAATACATGTAAAAATATGCCGACCTGTCCGCACCCTATGAACTGCCGCTGCAAACTGACTGGTTTGACAGATGATGGCAAAATGTTAAGAAATGGGCGGAGCTAGTGGTGACATTTGGCCGACAGATGTCAAATGGGTCTTCTTAGGTCCCGGGTGAAGGTAAACAAATGGGCGGAGCTGGCTGTGACATCACAGCTGGCTCCTCCCATTTGTTTTCATGCAATGACAGGCCACTGTCCTCAAATTACCTTAGTTTTTGAAGCTTTTTTTCCCCTATTTTTAATCCAGCAATCCATCCAATAACACATTTCCTGCTCTATGGAGGAGCAATGGAACACCCATGGATAGCAATATTGTCACCCTGTGGGGAGGGTAGTGTTAGATGCACTAGAAGATTTGGATGGCCTTGACTCAAATAATAAATCTGGGAACTCCAGCTAAATACTTTTTAAAGTATTAAACTCTCAGTCCTTTTTTCAGTAACTAATGCAGATCAAATAAATATAAATTGTCCAGCAAAATATTCCTCTAAATTTTTGCCCAAACACTTACATCATGTTTCATCATTTTTCCAAACAGCTGGCTCCGGCTCTTTCAGCTCAGCTTCCTTGAACTTACTGTCTACTACAGGATAACAGGGGAGAGAACAGTCTACGGCAGCTGTCCATCCACTGGCTTGGAGAAGGGAGAAAGGGGGAAGAGAGGAGAGGAAGGAGGAGAGGGAGCAGGGGTGACGGGTGTGTCTTGTCTTGCCTGACCTGTGTGGTTGTGGAGACACACACAGCTTACTAGCACAGAAAAGGGTGGGTCCATAGGACCCTGCAAGGGGAAGGAGGAAGCAGCATCCATTGTGATTTAATGATTGTTTAAAATAGCTTAAAAACATTTTGACTTTAATATCTTTTTAAGCAGTTGCAGCAACATATTTTCCCTTTTGGGATACAGGTTTTTCATAAACGAGAAAAGCTGACCATTGTAAGCATTGTCAGTGTTAAAGGGTTTGTTTCAATCCTCTATCTTACACGTTTGCTGGACAGTTTGGTCTGTTAAATGACATTGAAAAATAACAGACTTACTGGCCAATTCACCGGGTGAAATTCACCAGGTAAAAATAAAGGAAAAAAATTAAAAAAAAAAAAGGAAACCAGTGCAGCCACCATATTTAACCTCTTGCCGTCCGCCCGTAGTAAAAAAACGGACGGACGGCACTGCAGCATCAGTAAAATGCAATATATAAAATGTTTCCTTTTGGGTTTAGATACTCTTGATACACTAAGTTTAGTGAATGAGATAAGGTTGAGCTGACGTTAATCATCCAGTCTTGTGTGAGCAAGAATCCCATTTCTAAAATTTCATTGCACAAGATTGGGTGTTCTTTGCACAGTAAGTGTACAATTACATTGAAATCTTGGTACTTGGTTTGGCAACAGTAATAAATCTGATGGACAACTGGTTTATGCTGAACACTCGTCTATTTACTATTTACTAAGACTGATCTAGCATTGGCCTTTGAGCCACAAAAGGCTGTTTCTGTTGTTTTTAAATTTCCTTCATAAAATGAATCACCGGTACATAATATATTGATAAACAAAATAAATAAGTCAGGCTGTTCTCATCAGTCATTTTCTCAATAATATTGTCACCAGAAAACTGACTTTTATTTACCGCTACAATATATTTCGTATTGTACATTTATATGTCTCATGGAAAGATGAATAAAAAAGCTATTAAAAGGAAAATGACTTCTGACTGATGTATGTCTTACTTGGGAAAATATTAGCCATCTATTACCTATACTTTGGTGGGATTCTAATTCACATGGCACGAGTTTAAAGTTGTATGGCAGGAACTGGTGAATATTTCAGAAGCACTGTTCACGTTTGTATTCGTGGAACTTGTTTTCTGGAATTCATTTCTTGTTTCCTTATTTTAATCCACACTAATACTAGTTTTTCCTACAGACAATAATCTTCCAAGTGAAAACACTAACAAGAAACTAGAAGATTTGGCTTTGCAAATTAGTCAGCACCAAAAAGAGCAAAAAGAAAATCAACAGGTGAGAGCCAGAAAAAAACATAACACTGTATAGATATAAACAACAGTGAAAGCCTTTAGAATTTAGGATTATTATAAATATCCTATGTATTAACGCATTTGTCCTTATTTAATAACATAGGAGGGCCAATGACAGTCCAATGTCCAAGTGTAATAGTTAAAAGCCTCAAAGTTTTTTTGAGAAGCTTGGAGCAATAACTGCTTAAAAATACATTATTTTAGTATTTATTATTACTACAAGAAATGTTTTTTTACTGCTCTCTATCTTACTTATTATGGCTCAGAGCCATTTGTCATGTACAGTAGGTGGTTCATTATCTTAGTCACTAGAGAGCAGTGGTAGCACCTCCCTACAGCTATACTGTAAATAAATGGTGGGGAGGTGGACAGTCATTTCGGGAAGGACATCTATAGACGTCATTCTACAAATGGCCACAGGATGCCCGCTGCATTCGCTAGTCTCTGTGTACCAAGCCACCCTCAGACTAATCACAGCGATTACATGTTACTGTTTACACAACAATCTCTCACTCTTACTACAGGCAAGAGAGGAACTGTGAACTGTGAATGGGAGAATCTATGAACGACTTATCAGCAGCACCTGGTGACTCAGTGGCTCCGATCTTTTTTTTTAACTCTTTTACTGCATCTCACCTCCTAAAGTAATGATCTTCATCTTACCTCTGCACTGTGACCTCTATATTTACCCTTTATCTCCCTTATACTGCACATGTGCACATTAACCCCTTCATCTCCATCCTGCTGCTGTATCTGACCTATTCATTAAACCCTTCCCCTACCAATCCCTCTGTGATGTGCTGTATCTAGTTCATCATTACCAAAGTATGTGTTGTAACCTCCTTAATACCACCATGTTTCTTCATTTCCCAAAAATTGCGGTAAAAAACTAGATTACTTAGGTCTACTTTCCCAAAAGGCATCCATTTGGAGCTGTTGGTACTGTCCCGGCATTTTGTTTAACAGAAAAGAAAACCATTTTTTTTTTTTTTTTTTTAAATGTTTGTGGTTTTTCCTTTCTGTAGAAAAATATAAAAATCCCAGTGGTTAATAAGAGATCACCAAAAGAAGGCTATATCTGCCTCAAAAGAATTATATGAAATTATTTGGGAACAGTGTTGCATGACAGAATGATTGTTAGTCAAACTTTCACAGTGATACAGGCTGATACTCCTTTGTTTAAGGTTGTGGTACAGCAAGATACCAGAATTTTGTTCAACAGTGGCCAAACTGTAACAGGTTAAACAGCTCCTCAGCTAGTCTGATTCTATACATTTTCTTTTTCACTATAGCAAATACAGAGGCTTCTTAAAGAACTAACAAAACTGAGTTCCCATCAAGGTAAAAATAAAATGAAAGAAGAAGAGGAAAAAGACCTAACAGAACAGAAAATTGATCTTCTTGAGCAGTTGAAAATGCTGATACCCATTAGTAACACGAAAAAGGAAGTGGATGGTAAGTGCACATTTCCATGTGAGCTGCCTTTTCGAAGTGCTGAAAGCCACCATTGATTTTTTCTTTGGTTGGGTTGGAAAGGTACAAAGTCAATAGCCCTGCCTTACCTATGTTACATGCTTATTCAATAAAGCAGTGCATACACTGATGTGTGCAGTAACCTGAGGGCAACCTGATTTCTATTTAGACCAAGGATGGATTATAATTGGTTGCCTAGTGTTCCTGCACACTGCAGTGTCATGTTTACCTTAAAGCATAAATCCAGGCGTTACTGAAATAAGCACATGGCTGGTAATAGCATTTCTTGCTAATTGAATGCATGTAGAGTTTAAAAGAATAAAGTATAATAATGCCGGGAAACAAAAATGTAATATAACAATTAGAACAAAAGATGTCACTGGCAGGATCACCAGGTGAAAATAATGGAAAAAAGCCTAAAAAAGAAAGCTAATGCAACTTCCACAGCTAAGCTGGTGAGCTGCAGTATATGAAATGATTGCTTCTAGATACACTGTAAGAGCAAAAAGGTGTGGTTGTTCCCATAATTTCTACATTTTCTAGGTAATAAATAATAAGCAGAAGAGAGGATTCTATAAATGGCTGCAGTGCCTTATAGCAGGTGTTGTACAGGGCTTTAACGGTGATGAGCTTTTTCAAAGACGTTTGTGATTTACTCCAGTGCTTACCTATAATCAGGCACTATGGTTTTTGACTGAAAAGTTAGTAAAGTTTGATGAAATTAAAAAAAAAATTCTGCATGGTGAAGTTATTCGTGAGATCTTGCTGAGCAAGTCACTTTCTACAAAGTGAAAAGAAACAGCTGAGAGCAAAAGGAATACAAACATATACAAAGTCTATAAATTAGCATAGTTTACCATTTAAGCCAATACTTTCAGACATCAACAACCAAAAATATGCAGAGTTATCCATACAGGGCTAAACACTAAAGAGGGGCGGTTTAAAGGGATCATGAGAAGATAATGCAGTATGGGTTTATGAATAACAATACAAAATGAGGACAGCTTTTTCAAAGTTAGGCTACAAAGTCTAATTCCTAAAGAACAATTTTAATTATCCTTATTCCAGTTAGAGTCCCTCAGATAGTAAAAGAGGTAACTGCTGCTACATCTGCACAGGGAATAAGTGGAAGCCAGAATGGTAATTCATAAACAAAGTGCAGAGTTAAAGTGACACTAAACTCAGGAGTTAAAACTTACATTCAAGTACCGTAACAAACAAAAAAATAACAAAAATGTATCTTATTTGTGTATCACTCGGCTGTAGATCCTCAAATCATCTCCGTATTCATGCTGACGCTGTCCTTCCTTCTGGATGTTCTTCATTGTCCTGTGTGTGTTTTGTAAAGTATGAAGTCCAAGAACGTCACCGCATTCCTAGGAGTGCTGGTGACGTTCTTGGACTTCATGATATTGCACGGTGCCCTCCTTGGTCATTGCAAGCACCCACCTGGATCAGACAGGTTTTCATTTTATTCGGTAAGGAGTGCAGCAAGATACATCAATATGTTTTGTAAAGTAGTCACCTCCCCAAGCTCACTCTTGGGATGGACTATAATTTCAAAACAAATTAGTGAACCAAATGTGAAATTGTAGTCCATCACTGGAGCGAGCTTGGACCATCGGCTACTTTACAACACACACAGGGACCATGGGGAACAAAAGTAGCCACCCTCCAGAAGGAAGGACAGTGTCAGCATGAATTCAGAGATGATTTGAGGATCTACGGACGAGTGATACACAAATAAGAGACATTTTTGTTAATAGTTAAGAAAGTTCTTTTAATCTTAATTAGTAAGCTTTAACTCCTGAGTTTATTGTCACTTTAAAGGAGAACTATGGGGTAAGTGTTTTTCCCCATAGTCCTCAGGGTCACGGGAGGACATAAACTAGCGTCCTCCCGTGACCCAAAGCTCAGTATACAGCGAGCTACAGCTCCCGGTATACTGAGACTGCCGCAGCTGGGACCTCTCCTGACATTACTGTCGAGATCCACCCAGCTGCGTGTTTGACATCTGGATCATCCTATCTACAGGCAGAGCCAGCTGTACCCGCCCCTCCCCCGTTCGTTCCTCCAGTCAGCGGGGAGGGGGGGGTCCCTGCAGGGAGCCATGAGTGACAGTCACAGCTTTCTGCAGGGACAGGATCGAGAAGTGAGCGGGCAATGGTATGTGTTCGCTCACTTCCCGATCTATTGAGCCGACGTGTGACAGTTTCATTGTCACACGTCGGCTGGAACTATGAGGTTGAGTGAAAATCACTCACCTCATTGTTCTCCTTTTAAGAGCAGTTAAACACTGTGGTGCAGACAACAAGCTGTGCTAGACAGACAGATTTACTATCAAACATAACATTTGGCACTTAAAGCAATAACCTATCTTAGGATCATCATTTTGCATTTCCTTGTTTTGCTAGTGTGATAAACAGCCCCATTAGGTCCAGGGCAATGTTGTGTATGGGGTTTACCTGCTCACTAGACTATTGCATTTTCTGAGGTAAGCTGGTGGTAGCAGTGTGCAGGGGGATAAGCAGTGGCCACACCATTTTCCCCACCTGGGGAATAATAAAAGTCTTCTCTGGAATGATTCTTTGGGTGGTGATTAGTGATGAGGCTGGGCTTGGTGTGAACTCAATTCAACCAACCCCACATTTCCCGCAGCTATACATCACAAATGACCCGTCGCAACTGCCACCATTGACTGGGTTAGGTGGAGAGTGGTGGCAGTCACAGTTTAGAGCAGACTTGGGCGAACTCAGGTGATCTGGGTTCGCACCAAGCCCAGGCTCATCTCTAGAGGTGATAGAAAGATTGCATGCAGGAACAGCCTGCAGATCTAAGCAGATACAAATTGTAACTATCCAGGAGACTGATAGTTGTGCATTGAACTGGGCTTACCCAAACCGCTCCGTTGGGTCTGTGTCACATACTTTTGCTCTTGTGTTTGATGTAACAATGACAAATAAACACAGACAGGGAGTTCTTAAACGCACGTTAGGATGCCATACTGCCAAAAAAGCTCTACATTTAAAGCTGACCCCTACACTTGTCATGACATGGCTTAGAATATTGTGACAATGTATAACACTGCAGGCTTATATGAAGAAACTGTTTTTCTACTGGTAATGGTTAAAAAAAAAAATATTAAGAAAGATTCTTTGCCTCTGCCACTTATAGACATGTGCCTATGATGCACAGTGGTAAATCTGGCCTTCTTACTAGGGGAATTATGATAATGCCATTTGTGACAAATATAAAAAACACTATGGAGTCCATTTAAAAAGAAGTATTCTGGCCTTACTGCAACCATACTGCTGTTTTAAGAAAAAACACCATACATAAATAAAGCTTAGCTGTGTTCTTTACAAATGTGCATTGCTCTCTGATGTCCTTGGGAGTCTGAAGCCAGCATACTAATGGCAGGGAATTAATGGCAGGAGAAAAAGAAAAGTCAGGAGGGAAGCCCTGTCACCTGACCTGTCAGAATCACATGACCTGCTCTCCTTGTACATTGGAGCTCTCTCTGCCACGATAAGCAGACCCATCGCAGGTGTCACACTGCAGTCTGAATTTAAAAAATGAGGGCACTGGTGTGCATAACCCTGCAAAGAATGACGGAGAGCAGATAGCCATATCCACCCTCTATTATGAGTGATCCCTGTGTCCTGTATCTAATAATAAAATGTGCAAAACATCTAAGCAAACAATTGCATGACTCCTTTTCTTCTTCTATCTACCCTCAAAATGATGAAGCTTAAAAGCTTGAGGTAATACTTATTCATGAGCAGGAGCAGTGATAGATGTGATACTCTCCATGATTATCAATAAATGGTATTACACAGATGAACTAAGCTCAACAGAGGAACCTCCACTAAGAATAATTGATTCATGCACTGCCAGGTTCTCCTGGCATAACTTTAATGCTTATGGATAGATGATAGAAATGTACACATCCTAGACTTGACCTGTCATCCATACCCTTGTTCATTCACAAAAAGCCTTGTATTTTTTCACAGAATATAAGGAATTCTGGGGTTGGACAAACGGAGAGGATGGGCAGGTATACTCCATTCATAGAACGCTTTGTATTCTGCGAAAAAAATACAAGGCTTTTTGTAAATGTATGAGGAGAGAGGAGGGAGTATGTATGCAGCTGAAGCCCTTCACTTTCGCAGCCGCACCATTATTATAGTGTAGTATCTGGCTTCAATCAAGGCATGATTTTTATTTTTCTTATTAGAGGTTACTTCCCTAACTGCTCTTTCTAAAATAATTTTTTTTTACCCAGAGCTCAGCTTTAAATATGCATATGTACTATTTTGTTCTTCAACAGAGACTGAATATTTTAACAGCAAACATAATGGGCTCAAACATATTTACCTCAAAGCAATTTGGCTGTGGGAAACTGAAAATCTGAAAAGTCTTACGATAAAACCAGATGTTATAGTGCAGTGAATCAAATAATAACATAAAGAGGATTACGGATATAGTTTCGTGTTCATGGAAATTAAACAAGCTGAGTAATCAATATAGCTCTTTATTTATATATCCCAATAGCATTAGCTGCAGAAAAGAAACTTGTGCATTTCCAAAATTCGTCTCTTCTTGATGAATTACACAACAGAGCAAATAATTCACTCTCTCATCGTCTCTCACCTCGACTACTGCAACTCCCTCCTCATTGAGTTACCTCTAAACAGGCTATCCCCCCTCCAGTCTATTATGAATGCTGCTGCCAGACTCATCCACCTCGCCAACCGTTCAGTGGGAGACACCCCTGTTTGCCAATCTCTCCAAACAACATACAAAGCTATCTAACACTCTGCCCCCGCCTACATCTCCAACCTCATCTCAAAATATCACCCATACCATCCTCTCCTTTCCTCTTAAGACTTCCTGCTCTCTAGAGCTCCCACATCACCTCCTCTCATGCTCGCTTTGAGGACTTCTCCAGGGCCTCTCCCATCCTCTGGATCTCCCTAACA